GACTAGGTGACATGACCCAACTGGGAGAAGAGTCTATTTATTAAGCCAGTCTCCTTAAGTAAGATTCCTTTCCTCTGCCTAGTCTTACTTAGGAGGAGATCATTCATAAAGTCTATGGCTTACCCCACCACCCACTTCTGATGAAGACGGCTGAAGGGAGAAGACCCTCTGACCTGCTGTCATGGAGAGCCATGCTACCCCCTGTGCTCACATCCTTCTGACAGCCCACCCTCCTACTTCTGTTCTGAAGTGGGAAACCCAGAGCCACTCACACCAGAATGGCCACAGGCATGTGCATCCCCAGGTGTTTCTGCCCAGAGGCGATGGACAGAAGAACGAGAGACTGACGCTGTAGCACTTTTCTCTTTCTCCCACATGCCTAACACTGAGAGCAGGCGGCACACAGAGTGAAACTGCCTGCTTAGGCAGCTTCATGCCTGTGGGCCGGGGAGGCTGCAGGGGGGTCCTGGAAGCCAGAAGGAGGGCCCATGGGAGCCTTTCAGCATCAGACATCCACGACTCCCAAGCAGCATTAATGTCGTATTCCCGTGCTCCCCCAGCACTATAGGTAGACTCATTCTAGTACTTAGCCTGTTATGCTATAGTCAATCTTATATGCTCATGTCCTCCTCTCTAAGTTGTATCTAAGAAAAAAAGTCTATATCTCTCATTTCTCAGTGCCCAGCAGAGTGTATGGCCTAGTATGAACGCTAAATAATTTATCAAAGCTTCTAGCCTTACTGTGGGAGAGACCCAGCACCAGACGGTTTATGTATTGAGTCTGTAGCTCCTCTTCAAACTGTGAGTTCCTGGAGAACAGGAATCATGTCTTATCCACATTCAGGCCTATACAAAGTGATTAAGACTTAGAAGGAGCAGTATCCAAATTCTGTCTGCTGTGTGACCTGAAGTAAATGACTGAGGCTTCCTGAGCTTCTACTTCTTCATCTGACATGGGTGTGAGGATTAAATGAGATAATGCTTGAAAAGTGCTTGGTATCCAGCCAGACACACAGCAAGAGTCCGGTAACTAGAGGCAAGATTTGTAGCCAGAGGCACCCTGGGTGTGGGTGATGCTCAGTCAATGTTTGTTGAATAGGAGCCACTCCGTGAATTTTTAATTCTCTGCCCTGTAGTTCCTGGTCAAAACTCCTGAGTCCCCAGACTGACCCCACAGAATATATGTTGGAAAGAGTTAGTGGTCTATGCAGTCAGATGAAAAGAAACAGCACATGGAATAAGTTGGGACAGTGAGCACCTTGGTTCTCTTCCTTGCCAACTCCTGTTAAGATGTTGTAACACTCTGGTCTGATTCCCATTAAACTTCTGAGCAAATAAGTTACTCCTTAAGCTTCTTTCTACCCAACTCTCCCATGAGTCATATGAAGATGGAAAATGACATTTTTCAGACTTTGGTGGGGTAAAGAAGTGAACGGACAGATGGGGCAAGGAGGCTTTGAGGGGTGAGAGTTCAGCTCTGAAGCTGCCTAAAAGAGCTGGCATCAGACCTAGACAGGCATTCTTCCCTCCCACAGAGGGACTCCACAGAGACTGCTTATATACAGAACATTCTTCTCTAAATAGAAACCCATCAAGGCTATTTCATTATACAACCCTGATGTTTTTCTTAAAATAATTCAAGATGTTAAAATAAAATAAAGAGCCAATAGAATAAATTCAAATCAAGTCACAAGATGCTGAAGGTGGACCTCAGTGGGGAAAATTCCATT